GTGTCCCCGGTGTGTTTTTGCTTCTGCCAGATGGCCCGCTACCCCCCCGAGGGCTTCCGAGGCGTCTCCAGGGGCCCCGAGGATCGGGGCTCCCGGACTCCCGGCGGCGGTGCGCTCCCGCCCCCGAAGGCAGGGGCAGCTGGTCACTCTGCTCGCGGAGGCGAGGGAGTGAAGCGACGCCCCGCGGGCCGCGGCAGAGGAGCGCCAGAGCGACTGGGAGGTCATCTGCCGCGTGGCCGGCGAGCCGTGCAAGTGCGCGGACGGCCGCTGCCTCTGGCAGGAGGCGGCTCGGTCCTTCTTCGTCCGGAACACGATGGTCTCCGAGGGCCAGCTGGCGCATTGTCTGGCGAAGGTGATCACCGAGGGGCCCAGCAAGACGGCGCGGGTGCCCCTGATCGCCGGGGCCAGCAACACTGGCAAAAGCACGATGTTGGACCCCATCGACGTCGTATTCGGGAAGACGCACGTGCTCCACAAGCCGGCCGTTGGCGCGAACATGCCGTTGGCTAACATGACGAAGCCGGGCAAGAGGTTCATGTACCTGGACGAGTTCTCTCGCGCGGAGTATGCCTCCTTGCCGACCGGTCGGCCCGCGCTCCCGGTTTCAACGCAGTTGAAGTTGTTCAGTGGGCAGTGCATGGAAGTGCAGGTGTCGCAGCGGTTCCACGATGGGAACCCTGACGCGTGCTGGGCCCGGGGGGTGGCGGCGACGTCGAAGTTGAAGGGCTTGTGGACGCCGCGCGGCGGTGTGAGCGCCGAGGACATTGCTCACTTGCAGAACGGGTTCGAGCAGTTCACGGCCGACGGCGTGCCCTTGACCAAGGCGCAGCTGCGCACCGTGCCGCCCTGCCGGGAGAACTGGTGCAAGTGGCTCGACGCCACCGCCACGGCGTTCGCCAATGGGGCGCCGGCCGCCCCGCCGCAGCCCCCGCCGCAGCTCCGCCCCGCGGGCGGCGGCGCCGCGGCCGTCGGGGTGGAGGGGCTCTTGGCCCTGACGCGCCGCGTCTCCATCCCCGATGACGTGGCGAACGCCTTGCACGACGATGCCCTGGCCGTGGGGGCGGCCAGTGTCTCGGAGTTAACGGCGGACGATTGGGCGTCCTTGCCGTCGTGGGCGAGTTTGCTGCCCTTTTCAACAGAGACGGGTGCTGTCCGCGAGTGCCGCGCCGCCGCTGCCACAATTGAGGTGTTAGACACCTTTTACTTTGCAGAAGTTAAATAGCGGCCCGCGTCTGCTGGCCGAACCGCGCCGTTGGCTCAAGATTCGTGCTCGTGTTCATGACTGTCACCAAATCACCACCATCATGATCAACAGCATCGTCATTGCACGCCGTAGCAGCCATCAGTTGCGAATGAAAGGGGCGGGTGCCAGGAAGGAGGGAGAGGGGAGCACAAAGCGGATCTACGAACTCGCGTTTCCTCAGGCAGTCCGCTTTGGGGAGGAGTGCAGGGCAACACGGAGTCGACGGCGACCGCGACCACGACGACGGCGACGACGACGACGACCAGGACGACGACAACGGCGACGACGACCACGACGACGACGACGACGACGGCGACGGCGGCGACGAGGACGACGACGACGACGACGACGACGACGACCACCACGATCACGACGACGACGACGACGACAACGACGACGACCACGACCACGACGACGACGACGACGACGACGACGACGACGACGACGACGACGACGACGACGACGAGACGACGCACTCCTCAGCACTCCTCGGCACTCCGCCGCACTCCTCGGTATCTTTCGGCACTCCTCCGGACTCCTCGGCACTCCTCGGCACTTTTCGGCGCTCCTCGGCACCCCTCGGCACTCCAGTCTGCACTTTTCCGCACTCCTCGGCACTCTTCGGCACTCCTCGGCAATCTTCGGCACTCCGCCGCACTCCAGCACCTTTCGACACTCCTCCGCACTCCTCGGCACTTTACGGCACTTTACGGCACTCCTCGGCACTCCTCGGCACTCCTCCGCACTCCTCGGCACTGTTCGGCACTCCTTCGGCATTCCTCGGCACTCCTCGGCACTATTCGGCACTCCTCGGCACTCCTCTGCAATTTTCGGCACTTCTCGGCACTCTTCGGCACTCCTCGGCAATCTTCGACACTCCGCCGCACTCCGGCACCTTTCGACACTCCTCCGCACTCCTCGGCACTTTCGGCACTCCTCGGCACTCCTCCGCACTCCTCGGCATCCTTCGGCACTCCTCCGGACTCCTCGGCACTCCTCGGCACTCCTAGGCACTCCTCTGCATTTTTCTGCACTCTTCGGGACTCCGCCGCACTCCTCGGCATTTTCCGGCACTCCTCCGCACTCTTCGGTATTCCTCGGCACTTTTCGGCACTGCTCGGCCGACGCGTGCCCTGACCCTCCGACGGCGACGGCGGCGACGATGGCGACGGCGGCGGCGGCTACGGCGACGGGGACGGCGAAGACGACGACAACGACGACGACGACGACGAGGAGGACGACGACGACGACGAGGACGACGACGACGACGACCACGACGACGTGGACAAGGACGAGACGAGGACGATGACGACGACGATGACGACGTATGCTGGAGGGTGTGGTCGGGCTCCCGGCGGCCACCGTCATGCTGATCAGAGTGAGGGGGCCTCCTTCCATCGCTCCTCCTCCCCCCACACTCCACTGCGTCAGAATTCCATCCTCATGACAATGCATTGCATTGCGTTGCATTGCATTTTATGGGTGGGCTTGGCACGACACTGCAACATATAGCAGAACAGTTTATAGTATCGTATCGCATTGAATAGCATTGCATGTCATTGCCTCGCGTGGCAAACTATTGCTGGGCATTGCATGGCATTCTATAGACATCGCATTGCATAGAAAGGGTACCTGACCACCGCGCGCCGCACTGTACATCGACAAAATGTTGCACCACGTGCGCTGGGCATTGGCACCTGTACTGCACTGCTCTTGCCCCCCCCTTTCCCCCCGATCTTAATATTGGGTGCATGGCGAAGAGCCCCTGTTCCGCCCGGGGGCTCCCGACAAAATGTTGCACCACCGAGCTGTTTCGACCAGCCCGGGTCCGAACCCAATATTAAGATCGGGGGGGAGGGGGGGGGGAACACACGATTGATACGACAGCGATGCGATTTATTTCCAGCGCCAGGTGGTGCACCATTTTGTCGATGTACCGTTTGGGATTGAACACGTTCGACGTTTCCATCTTACGCCCAACGCCTCATCAAGGGAGGTGAGTGGAGTGATGAGGGGAGGAGTGAGACGAGGCGGAAGAGCAGGAGAGGCAGGAGGAGGAAGAGGAGCATAATGAGGACGAGGACGAGGACACGGGAACGAGGACAAGGACGAGGATGAGGATGAGGAGGATGAGGAGGGGGAGGAGCACGAGGAGGAGGAGGAGCAGGAGGAGCAGGAGGAGCTGGAGGAGGAGGAGGAGGAGGAGGAGGTGGAGAGAACTGGAGCAGGGGTACGAGGATCGTGGAATGCGAGGTGGAGGGGAGGAGGAAGGTCGTGCGAGGATCTTGGATGGAGGTGCGATGAAGGATTCGTGATCGAGGACCGAGGTTCGATTGACGATCGAGGATTGAGATTCCTTCGAAGATCGAGGTTTGACGGAGGATCGCGGATGGAGGTTCGATCGACGATCGAAGGTCGAGGTGTTAGGGGGGATCGAGGATCGAGACTGGAGCTTGATAGAGGATTGAGGGTCGAGGCTCGTTCGAGGATCGAGGATCGAGGTTCGACGTTAGATCAAGAATGGAGGTTCGGGGGATGATCGAGGGTTCATAGAGGATGGAGGGCGAGGATGAGGATGAGGCAGAGGAGCAGGAGGAGGAGGAGGAGGAGGAAGAGGAGGAGGAGGAGGAGCAGGAGGAGGAGGAGGAGGAGGAGGGGGAGGAGGAGTGGGAGGGGACGGGCCAGAGGGACGAGGATTATGGGATGCGGGGTGAAAGGTCGTGCGGAGGATAGGCCAGGGGTGGCAACACAGGCGCCCATTCCCACTAGAACTTTCGGGGTGCTGGGTGTTTCTAGGAGGAACCCTTGCGTCCGTCGGCGCCGTTTCGTTCCTGCGGATCGTGCGGAGACGGTCTCCGTCTCCACAGGGGGGCACAGGGCGGCGCCGATTGACTATTGAATTAGAGCCAGCATGGACTCCATGCGTGTGGTGTAAGCTATGCGGAGCATTCTGAGTGGTGCAATCTATGCGGTGCAGTCTATGTGGTGCAAGCTATGCTAAGTAAATTATTGTGGTGGACTCGATGTGGTGCAATCCATCTTACAGCGTCAGCGGTCTATGCAGTGCAATCTATGTTCAGCAAACGATGGGCGGCGACTGGTAGCGACTGGCGGTGGCAGGTCGCCACGAGGCGGCCGAACGGGCCACCGTGCCCACGTCTCTCGGGGAGAAATACGACTCCCGAGGTGCAAGTTGGGGAAGGAACAGAGTAGGACGGACCATGGCCAGGGGGAAGGGAAAGTTCGTTGCCACTGCAGCCCGCGAGGTCGTTGCCCAAATGACCAGCGATGCAGCCAATGAGGCAGTCGACACGGCAACACACGAGGCACCTTAGCAGGCTGCCAACGAGGCAGTCAACAAGGCAGCAAACGAGGCAGCAAACGAGGTAAACACCGAGGCAGCCAACCATGCAGCCAGCGAGGCAGCCAACAAGGCAGCAAACGAGGCAAGCGACGAGGCAGCCACCCAGGCAGCAGACGAGGCAGCAACCGATGCGAACAACGAGGCGGCCGACCCCACAGCAGATTCGGCAGCCAGCGGGGCAATGCAGGGGGTGGCGGTGCCAGGCGCTCACTTTCCGAATGCCCTGAGTTGATGGGAGTCCCGATACATCCGCGCAGCAATCCGTCCTTTAAGACCCGCGTGCGCGGCCCCGCCAGGCCGTGTATCCCCGCGCGCCGCGCCCGCCGCCCAGCCATGCCCGGGGCGCCGATGACCGCGGAGGAGATTCGCTTGGCCCAGGAGTGGTACACCAACGGCGACATGGAGCCCAGCGACATCGCGGCGAATCTGCAGCGCGACAAGTCCTCCATCACCCGCCTCATCAAGGACAACTTCCTGAAGAAGACCACTGGCCGTAAGAATGTCCTCAGCGAGGCGGAGTACCCGGCGCTCAAGGCGGAGTACCCGGGGACGAAGCGCTTCCGCGTCCTCGAGGACAACGACCCGTCCGGCTTCAAGGCCAGCAAGGGCGTCGCCGCCAAGCAGCGCGCCGGCATCCAGGCGTTCGAGATCCCTGCCCACAGTCCGCAGCTGAACGTGCGCGACTACTGGCTGTGGCGGGAGGTGAACTCGCGCATGCGCGCGCGGGAGCGCGCGTTCCCCGCGGGCAAGCGCGAGACCCGCGCCGCTTTCATCCGGCGCCTCAAGCGCACGGCCAAGAGCATTCCCTCGGACATGGTGAGCAAGAGCATCGGGGGCATGAAGAAGCGGTGCCAGCGACTGGTGGCGGCCGAGGGCGGCCAGATCGAGGGTTAGAAATGGGCCCCTCGTGCCCGCGCGCGCGGGCGCTCCAGTTTTCTCCGCGGGCAACTCGCCGCGGCCGTTCTACGAGATCTGGCCCGCCTCCTACGAGCGAGGGGCCGGTCCGTTTTCTGTGCCAGGCGGGCCACCGCCAGAAAACTCAGCCCGCGCGCGCGGGCCGGGGCAGACGGGGGCAGGGGGGGGGAAGCGACGAAGCCAGGCGGAGCCCGAGGCGCGTCGCCCGAGGAAGGATGAGGGGAGGCATTCATTCCGGGAGGGCCGTCGCCAGGCCCGCCCGGGCCCGCCGGGGCCCTCGTCGGCCTTGGCCGCCAGGTCCGCAGGGCCCCCGCGGGCCCCAGTGACTTACCCCCCACCCCAGTGCCTTACCAGTGACTTACCAGTGACTTACCAGTGACTTACCCAGTGACTTACCTCGCCCACCTTATAAATTGACAGGCGGGGCGCTTGCGGCACTCACAAATTTCTCTCTCTAGCATTAGAAGAGGAATTATATTGATCGCATGTGCCCCGTGTGTGAATTTATAGAGTGGGCGAGGTAAGTCACTGGGTAAGTCACTGGTAAGTCACTGGTAAGTCACTGGTAAGGCACTGGGGTGGGAGGTAAGTCACTGGCGAGTCCGCGGCGACCAAGGCAGCTCGCCGCCACGGGCGCGAGTCGCGGGCGCGGGCCGCCAGCAGGTCGCCGGCGGGTCGCCCAGGGCAGGTCCCGGGCGGGTCGTAGGTCGCAGGCGCGCGCCGCCCGCGGGTCCTGGGTTCGAGCTGCGGGCGCCGGTCGCGGGCGCGGGTCGAGGGTCGGCAGGCGCTGGTCGCGGGCACGGGTCGCGGTCGCGCGTGTCGCGAGCGGCTGCGGGCGCTCGCGCGCCGCTGGGGGGCGTCGCCCCCCGGCCCTCCTCCGCCCCCTCCCCCCCGCCCCTGCGGGAATTAAGCGGGTCGCGGGCGCGGGTCGCCAGGCGCTGGTCGTGGGCGTTGGTCGCGGTCGCGCGGGTCGCAAGCGAGGGTCGCTGTCGCCGTTCGCGGGCGGGGATCGCGCGCCGGGGTCGCGGGCGCGGATCGCGGTCGCGGGTCGCGGGCGCTGGTCGTTGGCGAGGGTCGCTGGCGCGGGTCGCGGGCGCGGGGTCGCAGGCGCGGGTCGCCCTCGCCGCCGCCGTCATCGTCGCTGCCGTCTGGCCCGCAGGCTCGCAGGCGCGCAGGGCCGCGGCCGTGCGGGGGAATGGCTGCGGCGGCGGCGCCGACGCGGGCGCAGCTGGACGAGGCGTCGAGGGCTCTGCTCCGGGGGGTCGAGCTCGCGGCCGTCAGCGTCAAGGCCTTCCGGCACAGGTTGGCGGCCCACTTGGGTTTGCAGCCTGACGGCTTGGACGACAGGCGGGAGGAGGTCGGAGAGATCCTCCGCGCCGCAGTGCAAGCGTTGCACCCGGAGGGCGCACAGGCCGCGGCGGCCGCCGGCCCCGTTGGCCCAGATTGGGACGCCCCAGAGAACGCGAAGGTTCGGCAGTGGGTCTACTTGGTGACCTTCGCGCCGACGCTCCCAGGGACCGCCGAGGCCGCGGCCGCCGTCGGCGGACCCGCCCTCAGGACCTTAGACGAAGTCTCGCGAGAGCAGATCCGGGACGCCATCCTGGACGCCGTGACCAACCCTGTGCAGTCGACCAGGGTTAGACAGCCCTGGGAGGAAGACGCTCGACAGGAAGCTTCAACGTTCAATTTTTGCGCCACGACTGGCCGCCCCGAGCCCGCGAGACCTTGGCTTCCGTTCCCAGCGAGATAAACGTAATTTGTCTGGAGCCCCTTAGTCGAGCTTCGCCCCCGGCGTCGTCTCGCAAGGGCGGCAGGCCCCTCAACGAGCCCGTCGGCGTCGAGTCGATGGTGGTGTTCCTCGAGGAGCCGCGCCACTTCCACGTGGCCCTGCGCTTGACTAACAAGGCGTCGTTCTTGCCCTTTAAGCTGGCCCTGCGAGCCCGCTCCGCGTTGGCGTCGCACTGGAGCGCCACGCACACCATGTTCTGGAGCGCTGTTCGGTACGGGGTTTTTACGACGCCCCGAAAGCTCCAGGTCGACGACGAGCCGTTGCCCTGGTCACGCCAGGGCACCTCCCTGAACCTGTACGAAGCCAGCCAGGAACCCTTCAACGCCAAGGCCCTCAAGAGACGGCGGGAGGAGGCCGAGAAGCAGGCCGCCAAGGTGGCCGAGGAGACGGGGTCGAAGAAGGAGCGGGTCAGGTTCACGAATGTCGACTTCAAGGCGCTGGTCATCAGCGAGGGTCTGTGGACCAAGAGCGCCGTGTTGGCGCACGTGCAGGAGAACGGCAGTGCGGAGATCCAGCGCTGGGTGGGAGCTAGGCGCCAGGAGCGGGAACGCGCTCGCCACCCTCGGCCTGCCCAGGCACCACTGTATGCCAGATTCTGCGGCCATGGCCCTGGGGGGCCTCGCGGCGTGTCCCCGGTGTGTTTTTGCTTCTGCCAGATGGCCCGCTTCCCCCCCGAGGGCTTCCGAGGCGTCTCCAGGGGCCCCGAGGATCGGGGCTCCCGGACTCCCGGCGGCGGTGCGCTCCCGCCCCCGAAGGCAGGGGCAGCTGGTCACTCTGCTCGCGGAGGCGAGGGAGTGAAGCGACGCCCCGCGGGCCGCGGCAGAGGAGCGCCAGAGCGACTGGGAGGTCATCTGCCGCGTGGCCGGCGAGCCGTGCAAGTGCGCGGACGGCCGCTGCCTCTGGCAGGAGGCGGCTCGGTCCTTCTTCGTCCGGAACACGATGGTCTCCGAGGGCCAGCTGGCGCATTGTCTGGCGAAGGTGATCACCGAGGGGCCCAGCAAGACGGCGCGGGTGCCCCTGATCGCCGGGGCCAGCAACACTGGCAAAAGCACGATGTTGGACCCCATCGACGTCGTATTCGGGAAGACGCACGTGCTCCACAAGCCGGCCGTTGGCGCGAACATGCCGTTGGCTAACATGACGAAGCCGGGCAAGAGGTTCATGTACCTGGACGAGTTCTCTTGCGCGGAGTATGCCTCCTTGCCGACCGGTCGGCCCGCGCTCCCGGTTTCAACGCAGTTGAAGTTGTTCAGTGGGCAGTGCATGGAAGTGCAGGTGTCGCAGCGGTTCCACGATGGGAACCCTGACGCGTGCTGGGCCCGGGGGGTGGCGGTGACGTCGAAGTTGAAGGGCTTGTGGACGCCGCGCGGCGGTGTGAGCGCCGAGGACATCGCTCACTTGCAGAACGGGTTCGAGCAGTTCACGGCCGACGGCGTGCCCTTGACCAAGGCGCAGCTGCGCACCGTGCCGCCCTGCCGGGAGAACTGGTGCAAGTGGCTCGTCGCCACCGCCACGGCGTTCGCCAAGGGGGCGCCGGCCGCCCCGCCGCAGCCCCCGCCGCAGCTCCGCCCCGCGGGCGGCGGCGCCGCGGCCGTCGGGGTGGAGGGGCTCTTGGCCCTGACGCGCCGCGTCTCCATCCCCGATGACGTGGCGAACGCCTTGCACGACGATGCCCTGGCCGTGGGGGCGGCCAGTGTCTCGGAGTTAACGGCGGACGATTGGGCGGCCTTGCCGTCGTGGGCGAGTTTGCTGCCCTTTTCAACAGAGACGGGTGCTGTCCGCGAGTGCCGCGCCGCCGCTGCCACAATTGAGGTGTTAGACACCTTTTACTTTGCAGAAGTTAAATAGCGGCCCGCGTCTGCTGGCCGAACCGCGCCGTTGGCTCAAGATTCGTGCTCGTGTTCATGACTGTCACCAAATCACCACCATCGTGATCAACAGCATCGTCATTGCACGCCGTAGCAGCCATCAGTTGCGAATGAAAGGGGCGGGTGCCAGGAAGGAGGGAGAGGGGAGCACAAAGCGGATCTACGAACTCGCGTTTCCTCAGGCAGTCCGCTTTGGGGAGGAGTGCAGGGCAACACGGAGTCGACGGCGACCGCGACCACGACGACGGCGACGACGACGACGACCAGGACGACGACAACGGCGACGACGACCACGACGACGACGACGACGACGGCGACGGCGGCGACGAGGACGACGACGACGACGACGACGACGACGACCACGATCACGACGACGACGACGACGACAACGACGACGACCACGACCACGACGACGACGACGACGACGACGACGACGACGACGACGACGACGACGACGAGACGACGCACTCCTCAGCACTCCTCGGCACTCCGCCGCACTCCACCACTATCTTTCGGCACTCGGAAGGACTCCTCGCACTCCTCGTCATTTTCGGCACTCCTCGGCACCCCTCGGCACTCCAGTCTGCACTTTTCCGCACTCCTCGGCACTCTTCGGCACTCCTCGGCAATCTTCGGCACTCCGCCGCACTCCCGCACCTTTCGACACTCCTCCGCACTCCTCGGCACTTTACGGCACTTTACGGCACTCCTCGGCACTCCTCGGCACTCCTCCGCACTCCTCGGCACTGTTCGGCACTCCTTCGGCATTCCTCGGCACTCCTCGGCACTCTTCGGCACTCCTCGGCACTCCTCTGCACTTTTCGGCACTTCTCGGCACTCTTCGGCACTCCTCGGCAATCTTCGACACTCCGCCGCACTCCGGCACCTTTCGACACTCCTCCGCACTCCTCGGCACTTTCGGCACTCCTCGGCACTCCTCCTCCTCCTCGTCTCCTTTCGGCACTCCTCCGGACTCCTCGCACTCCTCGTCACTCCTAGGCACTCCTGTCTGCATTTTTTCTGCTCTCTTCGGCTCCCGGCCGCACTCCTCGTCATTTTTTCGGCCTCCTACCCCTCCGCACTCTCAGCGATCCTCGGCACTTTTCGCACTGCTCGCCGACGCTGTGGCCCGGTGCCCTCCGAACGGCGACGGCGGCGACGATGGCGACGGCGGGCGGCGGCTACGGCGACGGGCGGCGAAAGACCGACAACGACGACAGACGACGACGAGGAAGGGACGACGAAGACGACGAAGGACGGACGACGACGACGACCACGACAGAAGTGGGACAAGGACGAAGAACGAGGACGATGACGAACGACGATGAAACGACGTCATGCGGGGAGGGTGTGTGTCGAGGGCTCCCGCGGCCACCTCTATTCTGATCCAGAGTGAGGGGGGCTCCTTCCATCGCTCCTCCTCCCCCCACACTCCACTGCGTCAGAATTCCATCCTCATGACAATGCATTGCATTGCGTTGCATTGCATTTTATGGGTGGGCTTGGCACGACACTGCAACATATAGCAGAACAGTTTATAGTTTCGTATCGCATTGAATAGCACAATTGCCAATGTCATTGCCTGGCTCGCGGTGGCAAACTTATTTGCCTGGGCATTGCATGGCCTTCTATAGACCCTCGCAATGCAATAGAAAGGTACCTGACCACACGCGCGCCGTAACTGTAATCGACAAAAATGTTTGCACCACGGTGCGCTGGGCATTGCACCTGTACTGCATGCTCTTGCCCCCCCCTTTCCCCCCGATCTTAATATTGGGTGCATGGCGAAGAGCCCCTGTTCCGCCCGGGGGCTCCCGACAAAATGTTGCACCACCGAGCTGTTTCGACCAGCCCGGGTCCGAACCCAATATTAAGATCGGGGGGGAGGGGGGGGGGGAACACACGATTGATACGACAGCGATGCGATTTATTTCCAGCGCCAGGTGGTGCACCATTTTGTCGATGTACCGTATACAGGGCACGGGAAAAGCGTGGACCCTCCAGCAGGAAGAGTCGCCGAGGCATCAACTACGAGGCGCCAGGGAGGCACAGAACGACAGAATCTGCCAGTTAAGTGCCAAGATGGGCGGAAAATCCAAGTAAAGCGCCAAGGAGGCTCAAAAACGACAGAAACTGCCAAATCGGTGCCAGGACCGGCGGAAAATATAAGCGATAGATCCGTTAACTCGAACCCGAAACCGGAGAATAATTGGCGAGCCCCGAGAGGTCCTCAACCAGCGACCGGCCGATGCGAGGCTGCCAAGATCCAGTCCAACAAAAGGTCCTCGAAGATGCCAGTCCAACAAATCAAGATGAACGCGGGAGTACCAAGGTACAGATTGGCAGTGGTGGAAAATAAAGGCGACAGTGCCGGAGCAGGACGCCTCACGGAGGGCGCGCGCCGAGCTCGGCGCCGCAGCAGAAGCCAGCCTCCCAGAGCAGGAACAACAGAGCCGACGCCCCCTCAGCGGCGCAGGGTCAGCCATCGCCGCTCGCCCGGCTGCTGGCCTGCCCCCCCTCCTTCATGAGCTTATCCTGCGACGAGTACTCGGCGGGGAACGAGGAACGCAATGCCAACAGGGCGGCAGCATAGGCAGCGCCGCGCCGAATCAGCAGGCGGTCGCGCCGGTCAGCCCCCGGCTGCTGGAAGCGCGAAACTGCAGCCTCCAAGCGCACTGCGATGACCTCATGCGCGAGGCCCTCCCCGAGCCAGCCGCGAATCTGGGCGAGAACCTGCAGATACTCGTAGCTGTACTTCCGCTGGCTGTCACTGGGCGCACCGACGCCGATAGCACCCCTCTTTCGCGACTCGATAGCGCCGTTTCCTGTCGGATCATCCTTGCTCTCAGCACGTAGTCGAAGATCGGGGCCAAACGCCAAGATCTGGAGAGGTAAAGCGACGGGTAAGGTGTCGGGTAGGGCGTGGGCGGGGGCGTCGGGAAGGGCGTCGTCGGGAAGGGCGTCGTGGGCGTCGGGTAGGGCGCCGTGGGGAAGGGCGTCGAGGGCGTCGGGTGGGGCGCCGTAAGGGCCCGCAGGGGGGCGTAGGGCGCTTCGGGGAAGGGCGTTGGGCAGGTCGTAGCCGGTAAGGGCGTCGTGGGCGTCGGGCAGGGCGCCGTGGGGAAGGGCGTCGTGGGCGTCGGGTAGGGTGCCGTAGGGGGCCGTAGGGGGGCGTAGGGCGTCGTGGGGAAAGGCGTCGGGTAGGGCGTCGTTGGGAAAGGCGGCGTGGGCGTCGGGTACGGCTCCTTGGGGAAGGGCGTCGGGGGTGTCGGGTTAGGGCGCCGTCGGGGACCGAAGGGGGCCGTAGGGGGGCGTGGGGAGCGGCGTCGGGCAGGGCGTCGTCGAGAAGGGCGACGTGAGCGTCGGGCCGGGCGTCGGCAACCACGGGGCGCAGTGGAGCCCAGGCGCTGACCACTCCCAGAGGCTCGAGCAGACCCATCCACCAAGCCGCGTGAACGTCCCAATCCTCCCTTGGAACATAATAAAGAAGAGCATCCTCGTCTTCCCCATCTGTGCCGGCTTCGTCCTCATCCGTGGTGACGTCGTGGGCCTCGAGGCTGATGAACTCGGTGCCGACCACGGTGCCAGCAGGAGCCACAATCGGCTCGGGGGGAGGACGGGGCAGAGGGCGCCTCATATAACGGTCGCCCGAAGAGCGACGCCCAGAACCAGGACAACCGGGCTCACCCTCCTTCCCCCAGTCCCCAGGCCCCCGAGCCAGCACCAGCCATCGGCCCCAGAGCACCATCGAGGTGCGCATGTTCGTCCTCCAGGTCGCTGTCGGAGATCACGGCGCTGTTGAAGACGCCGCTCAGCTCAGATGGTGAATGCCCTGAGCCCGAGCCGCACGACGCCGCCGCACCTCCCGCAGAGGACTCAGTGACGGCGGGGACCGACTCCGGAGCCGGGGGCTCGGAGTGCTCGGCCAGCCACGCCGAGGTCTGCGTGAGGGGGTGCGGCAGATGCGCGCCTGCACGGCGTCCGGTGGCTGGGCAGCCTGGGCCTTCGGCAGAGGAGCGTCGTCGGAGGCCCTCGGCGAGGGAGCATCCACCAAGCGAATGCTGCTGCCCAAAGGCTCTGGCCGAGGCTCTTGCCGATGCCACCGGCGACGACGCGCCACCGGCTGCTCCTCGTGCATCGGCTTGTCCAGCCTGGATGCCGCCAGATGTCGACCTCCATCGGTCCTCACCTCGCGCGTGGCCTCCGCCGGCGGACGTGCTCCCGCGCGCACCTGTGCCAGGCCAGCCCGCCAACCGGGGCCCGACGAGGTAGGCGAGTTCGACCTCGGGACCCTCGGCGGCGTCCAGCGCCCAGGCGGGCGCTCAGCCCTCGTGGGCTCGGCCGGCAAAGCGCAGGCGGGTTGTAGCCGTGCCTGGGCAGCACCCCGAGGCTCCAGCTCGTCCTTCACCAGGCCTGAGTCCGTCCACGCCTGCGGCTCCGCCTCGAGGGCCAGCGGAGGAGGTCGAGGAGAGCAGCTGGGCCTCGGCGTGGGCTTCGGCGTGGGCTGCCCCCTCTGCGGAGCCGGAGGCAGCAGCTGTAGCTTCGGCACCGGCTGCAGCCTCGGGGAGGCAGACGGCGGCGGCAGCTCCGACTGGACCAATTGAACCGGCTGCACCACCCTGAGCGTGCCACTCACCGCCGCCGAGACGGCCGCCTCCACCATCGCCTGCATTACGCTGCGGCCGTCCATGCCACCCCATTCCACGGAGATGAATAGCGCTGGGGGGGGAGCGGCCGATTATGTGGCGGCGGTCGAGAAGTCGAGAAAGTGCTACGCCTGATATGCCCTTGAGCCCTCACGCCTTCCGTAGCCAAGCATCATCGTCATTATTATCATCAGCAACATCAGCATCATCGTCGTCATCATCGTCGTCATCAGCATCATCATCACAGCCACCACCGTAACCACTATCCCCCCATCCCCCCGCCCATCCCCCCCCCTCCCCCACCCTCTCTCCGCGCGCTCCCTCGCACGCGGGAGCGCACGCTCAGGGAGAGGAGGAGGATGGAGGGAAGGTCGAAGGAGCATGAGGACGAAGAGCAGGCAGGAGGAGGAGGAGGAAGCGAAGCCAAGAAAGGAGGAGGAGGACAAGGGAGGAGGAAGGGGAGGAATTAGAAGGTAGGAAGGGGGATGGAGGGAGGAGGCAGGTGGAGGGAGAAGGAGGAGGGAAAGGAGGAGGAGGAGGAGGAGGAGGAGGAGGAGGAGGAGGGAGGAGGGAGGAGGGAGGGTGAGGACGCAAGGAAGAGTAGAGAGGAGGAAGGAGGAGGGAGGAAGGACCTGGTACCCCAGCAGGATAAGGGCGACAGGCGACCCGCCTGCTGGACGCCTCGCTGAAAGGGTCCACGGAGCGCCCGACGGAGCTGCTGGGCGGGCGGGTGGACTCGCTGGAAAGCCGCCTGGAGCGGCGCGGGGAGGGGGCGCCTCCCTCTCCAAGCCCTCGTCCTTCTCCACCTCCCCCGCCTCCTGGCCTTCGTCCTCGTCCTCGCCCATCTCGTGGATATCCTCCTCCTCCTCCTCCGCCTCATTTTCCTCCTCTTCCTCCTCCTCGTTGTCCCTGTGCTGTGCCGCGCGTCTTCCCTCCATTCGTGAATCTCCCCCTCCTCCTCATCCTCCTCCTACTCCTCAACCTCCTCCTCCTCCTCCTTCTCCCCCTCCTCCTCCTCCTCCTCCTCCTCCTCCTCCTCATCCTCCTCCTCCTCCTCCTCCTCCTCCTCCTTCTCCTCCCCCTCCTCTCCTCCCCCTCCTCCTTCTCCTCCTCCTCCTCCTCCTCACTCGCTCTTCCTTTAAAAAACTTCTCCTCGTCGCCCCACCAGACGTGTCGGTAGAGCGGGCCGGGCGTTTCGCCCCAGACTTCCTCACTGCTCATAGCCCTGAAGCCTGAAAATTCCAGAAGCTACGGGGCAGAAGGGCGGCCCGTTTGCAAAATGTGGTGATCGCCCCAGCGCCGCGCTCACACGTCTCAAACAAGAAAAAAACGATTACAAGGATATGAAGCTGTTTCTGAAATCAATGGGGCCCTCGCATGAGACATCCTCCAGCCTATAAGTGTGCAACAGCTATAAGACTGGAGGACTGCTCCTTTGTAAACACGGGGGTCCCTTCTGCGACTTGCTCACATGCAATGTCCCAACATGTAAACTGCACAGCAGGTTCCACACTGAGGGCGGCTCATTTTCAAAACGCGGCGTTCGTTTGACCCCTCCTTCATTCAACTTTCAGGTCATGCCTTCTTCGCACTTGTTTTTCTTCACAACGGACCTCTCGCATAAACGGCAAGCCTATGAGGCGCTCGTCCTCTTCCTCCTCCTCGTCCATCAAATCGTCTTCTTCGTCCTCCTCGTCCTCTTCCTCCTCCTCGTCTTTTCTTCCTCCTCATCATCCTCCTCGTAGTCATCATCATCACCACCACCACCACCACCATCATCACGATCATCATCATCGTCATCATCACCATCATCACCAGTATGACCATCATCACCATCATCACGATCATCATCATCATCATCAGCATCATCACCACCACCACCACCACCATCATCATCATCATCATCATCATCATCATCATCATCATCATCATCATCATCATCATCATCATCATCATCATCATCATCATCATCATCATCATCATCATCATCATCATCATCATCCATCATCGTCATCATCATCAGCATCATCATCATCCATCATCATCATCCACCTTCCCCTCCTCCTCCTCCCTCCTCCTCCCTCCTCCTCCTCCTCCTCCTCCTCCTCCTCCTCCTCCTCCTCCTCCTCCTCCTCCTCCTCCTCCTCCTCCTCCTCCTCCTCCTCCTCATTCTTCACCTGGTCGCCGTCGTCGTCCTCCTCCCAATCTCAGCACCAGCTTGGAAGGAGGAGGCGGAGGAGGAGGAGGAGGAGGAGGGGGCAGAGGCGCTCCATGCGGAGCCCACGCTGCAGATCTCGCTGCCCCACGTCTCCGAGCCACCCGCTCGCTTCTCCGACAGGCCGAAGCGGTGACAAACAACCAAAGGGCCGGGCAACGGTCCCAGCAGCAGCTCCTCCCCCGTCGGCGCCGCCGCCCGCCCCCCCTCCCGCGCGGCAGCGCGACGGGATATGCTGACGGCCGGCCCGGTGAACTGCGATGTCAGCCAGCGCGGGCCCCAAACAGTGCGTCTCTGGCAGTCTGTGTCGTGCAACATGTGTGGTGCGGTCTACGTTGCACAATCCATGTGGCGCCTGGGTGTGGTGCAACAGATGTGGTGCGACACATGCTGCGCAGGCGATGTGGTGCGATGCACGTTGTGCAGTCCAAGTGGTGCAGTGTATGGGGTTCAGTGAGTGGTGTGCAAGGTATGTGGTGTAGTCTAAGTGGTGCAGTATTTTTTGTGTAAACTATGCGGTGCAGTGTATGTGATGCAATATATGTTGTGCAATGTTGTGCACCCTATGTCGTGCAATTTATGTGGTGCAGCATATGTGGCGCACTACATGATGTGCAAGCTAGGTGGTGCAATATATGTTGTGCAATATCTGTAGTGAAATCCATGTGATGCAGTCTATGGTGTGCAAGCTATGTGGTGCAATCTATGCGGTGCAATCTACGCTTGCATTCTATGCGGCGCAGTCTTTGCGGTGCAATATGTGCGGTGCAGTCTATTTGGTGCAATCTAGGGCGGCGACGAGGCGGCGACGGGGCGGCGACGGCGACAACATAGCCGCCAGACCGACAGGCAGGCCCAGCTCCTTGGAGGAGATATGCGAAAACCCCGAGTGCAAACACTGTTTGGGGAACACTTGGAGAAGAATATGGAACAGAGACTCGGGGGCGCGCAAACATGGATTAACGATCCATGGATTTGGCGCGCGGTCGCCAAATCCATGGATCGGGGGGAGTGCCCTCCCCAAAATGCGGCCGGTACCGCCTCGTTCGGCGGCGGAAATCCGCGATTTCTCATGGAAACGGGACCCGTCACTAATCCACGCCCCCTTGCTCCATGTTTGCGATCGCCTGAATTTAGAGAGGAACCTGGAACAGAGACGCTGCTCCCTCCATCCGTCCTGCGTGCCACCTCCCATAGGGTCCCCCTTCGCTCCCTCCCTCCCTCGATCCATCCAGCGTGTCACCATTCCTCCCCCACCTCCCCCGCAGAAGGAGGAGGAGGAGGAGGGAAAGGCAGAGGAGGAGGAGGAGGAGGAGGAGGAGGGGAGGAGAAGAGGGAGGAAAACAATGAGGAGGACGGTAAGGAAGAGTAGGAAAAGGAGCAATCGAGGGGTAAACTGATGAAAGTCGAACAAGCCAGCGGGCCCCGCACAGTCCCATCCCCCCTCCCATAACATAAGAATCAAGCATGGGACTGGAGAGCGTTCCAGCTTAGTGAACGGGACGCGCTCGCGCACGGTTCCGCCTCCGACGACTTGAGGGGGAGCGGAACTCCAGAAAACCCTCGCGCGGCGCGGCTGCGAGAGCGCCACTCAGCCTTCTCTCGGGCGGCCAAACTTCCGATGAACCGAAGCACGCACCGCGCCGAGACGGCACGCCCACGGTCACGCACAAAGCTGGGCGGCGCTTGGGCGGCGGGCGCTCGGGCGGGACAGCTTTCCGCCTGCTCTCGCGCGGCCCGGTGGCCGCTGCCGTGTTCATATGACTCAGCAAGCGAAACATGCGCGCGCACGCGGGA